ACAGGGATGTTTCAAATATTAACTTTAGAGTGTCCTTCAGTCCGTATGTCTGTTTGTTCATAAAAACTGTTTCCTGTGATCCATTTTAAAGAACTTTTCCAACAAATTTACTTAAAATAGAGAAAAATTGAAACATTAATGAATGGCTAATGGCCCTTCAGAATGTTGATGGGGTTCTTACCGGTAGGGGACTTCTGGATTGCTTGCAATACTATGATAATTGCTTGTTTCATACTGTTTTGTTGACATTTTTGTCAGTGTTCCTTGTTTTTTTCTACGTCTACGGTAAGTATTTTCCCCTTTTGCCCCTAGTTTTATTTATTCAATAAATCAATCATTTATTTGTTTTCTTTGATTTCCTTGTCGTTTACTATTATTTCGTCTTATGTATCATTAAAGTGATAAGCCTATCCGTGCTCTACCTTGCGCCCTGTCCGTTTTTCTGGGGGGTCCTCTTGTGTTACTTGGTTCTTGTTGCTGGGTCGTGTGGGGGTTGCGTTCATTGAACGCTGTCTTTCCTTGTTGATCTTGTTTATCATATTTGATAAAACTTTATCATGCCACCCAGAGTGGGCCTGTTGGCCTCATCATGTTTTTCTAAGGTGTCTTAAAATTAGCAATGCTGCGGCCTTCTTTTTCTCGGATGACTCATCATCAAAGAATGTAATTCTGCAGCAAATAATGGAAGCTTTGGATGTCTCTGTAGAGATGTGCAAGAGTGACAGATGAGGAAGATGGCCTAGCCGTTTATATGTCCACCATGATAAATATGGTGACACGACGGTATTGCGGGGGCTTCACGTAGTCGTGTTCCCTTTTCAAGACTATCGGGAATCTTCGTGTTTACTTCGTATTGTCTTCTTGAGGCTAACAACACCAGATTGCATCGATGATCACACGAAGAAAAGACGAAGACTACACGATTTGATGGCTTCACGACGGCCTTACGAAGGGCAAAATTGACATACAAATTCAACACAAAAATGAACCTTCGCAATGTCTTCGGGCAATTTTTTGGCATGCAAAACATTTTGAAACCGCTCACGAAGTTGCTGCCGGAGCTTGTTATATGCAGCCGGGGATCATACGATTGCAAAAGATGCCCTCACGAATGGCACGATGTTATTACGATCAGATCCGAATTTGAACATTTCCTTATTCGTGTGTCCATCTGATGCCAAATTCGGGACAGTGTGACGCCTGCATAAGCGAACAGCATGGATCCTGATCAGACTGCGCGGATGCGCAGGCTGGTCTGGATCCATGCTGGTTGCAAACCCATTATGTTGGTTATGTCATGACGCGGCTAATTTGAGGACTTACACTCAGTTGTAACAGTGAGCTCATTGTGTGAATTCATTTCTTTTAACTTCATTTTATCTTGTTAGAAAATCTCAAAAAAATATTGGGGAAAAAATCTTACAAATTTACATGCAACTTGTTTGATGATGATCATATGTGAATTCGGTCTCTTATCACACAGTGGGTGATAAAATGGTACAAAAAATGATCCTGTATTTTCTTATTTTGCCTTAAAGGGACTCCACTTAGGTTTTTTGACATGATGGGAATGGAAATAATTTTTCAAGAGTAAGGATTTGATTATGATGTAGTCCAATAATTCTTATTGTGAAAAATGACTCAAAATTGGAAAGCTTTTCCATGCTTTTCACTCAGTCTGGCTAATAATAGCATGATTTTCAATATATTTCTGAGTATATTCCTTAATTATCTTTGGAATAATTTCCTTTTTTCAGCTGATCTATGTTAGAAATCCAAATGTTTCGTTTTTAGGCTTTAGGACCTCAGTGGAGTGCTTTTAATTTAAGTGTCCATCTGATATTTGCCTTATAGGGTTACAATATCAAAGCAATATTTTTAAAAGTGTCTTCGTGCTATTGACTATGAAATAATTTCCTTATTTTGTCAACAGTGTTATTTGTAATAAAATTAAATGAAAATACAGAGGGACTCATAAAGGGCTATATTCTTTTTTATCGTAAGTGATTCATGGATGGGATATAACATTTTTACTGGAATATTGCTTAAGGAAGTACTGTGGTTAAAATTTTGTTGTTTTTCCGAAGGGATATACACTTACACGTATATAGAAAAATTAGGAAATAAAACTCCCCTCTCACATACAAAGAGTTTCACCATCATAATACTGCAGCCTTTTATCAATACTTAAAAGTGTTAATGGTACATGTACATGTAAGTACAAATACATTTTGTTTAAGATGTTTTACATTTATATGTCTCGGTGACCCATTTGTTATCAAAATTTCAAATTTGGATCATTTTTAAAGGTACATTGCAAATGCCTCAAAGATGAATAAAATTTTCCATTCTTTACATATCATATTACATTGGTTTATAACACTGAAATAATGGTTGCCATGGAACATGTTAGATGCTTATTACCTGAAAAATTTAGTAGCTTTGAATGTGAAATTATGTCCTAAAATGTAGTATTTAATGTAAGAAAGTAGTACTTTGACTTTCATACAAAATACTAAATCACTTAAACTATACTAATTAATAGCCAAAAAGCAACAGAAGCAAACTTTTAATTGTTCAGGTAATAGGCCAACAAGCATCTTTTAACTTAACACTAAAATTTTTTTTTTTTAAACTTTGAGAAATGAAAACATTTCTGAGGCATAATGGGCCTTTAAGTAATGAATTTATGCATTTGATGCTCTTATACATTATAGCAAGTGCTTCCATGCACTATAAACAAAAAATTAATGAACATCATGAGATATTAAGCTGATGGTGCAGTCCATTTTGAAGGCTTGAAAATCACCAAATAACCATACACAGTTTGTGGGAGGGGCATGTTATTAAAATATTAACCCTTTTCTGTCAATTCATCACATAGTCAGTGACCTGTCTGATCACAAGGGTGTCCTGGAATGCTAAAAGTGACGCAAACCTAAACGGGACATTTGTATTTTTTATTTTCCATGAATAAGTGATGAAATAAAATAACATCTGCATTCAAAGATTTATGTAGTGGGGTGTCCATAGTCAAGTTGTTATAGTCATTTACTTCAAACCACTTGCCCCTTATTGCTGCTGTAGGATTTTTTCATGTGAGGGGAAGCTATCCAGCTAGCTTACAGAATGTTGGTGGTTCTACTCAGGTGCTTGTTTGTGCCTGAAATGCACAGAGGGGTACATAAGGTCTTCCTCTATCAGTAAAGCTGGTAAGTTGCAATATAACCGTAATTTGTGTGCGACATTAAACCCAAGCCACCACCCTCCCCCCACCCCCCAACCCCACAAAAAATATGAAGTTGGCCATTGTTGATTGATTTATAAAAGCACTTAGAATATGACGTTTAGTACTCAAATCCACAGGATATGAATGTTTCTATATAACTTTTGATAAAGTCAACTATAATTCATTTATGTTACATAAATACATATATGTATGTTACTTTACCCAACCAAAATGATTTGACAAAACATGATACAGAATTAAATGTTAAAAGATCAAAACTTTTCTTTTATCTGAACTTAAATATATACATTAATATCCTTATATTCTGAAATATATTTCTATTTCCTCAATTTAAGGACATAAGGTACAGTTTTTTTTCCACAGTTAAACCTGGGGAATTGATGGTAGAGGGATTTTATAGTTTATAGTAAGTAAACATTTTACTTAAACTTAGGGTTTAAACAACTAGACAGCCAAGTTTTATTGTTTTTCTTTGTCCCTATTTAGTTTTTTTTTTAGTTTTGGATGACCAAGTGATATTCTGTATTTCAAAAGGTATGCGTGTCACTTGATACTGTTTTGAATTTAAGATTTGTTGATTTGAATTGCATACATGTAAAACTGGTAATGTTTTTTAAAATACAAAATCAACTTGTGTAACATTTTTTTGTATGTATTAATATTATGTATGTCAGTTTTTCTGAACTTTTTTAAAGAATATAAACCGAATTGGATTTACCTGTGACAATGAATACCGCTATAAATTATGACAATAATTAATGAACCTATGGTTTGACCATAGTCAATGAACCCATGGTCTAACCATAGTCAATGAACCCATGGCATGACCATAGTTAATGAACCCATGGTCTAACCATGGTAAATGAACCCATGGTCTGACTATTGTCAATGAACCCATGGTCTAACCATGGTAAATAAACCCATGGTCTGACCATTATAAGTCCATGGCCCATGGTAAATGAACCTATGGTATCGCTATTGTAGGTGAACGCATGGTCTAACCATGGCAATGAACTCATGGTTAAGGTTAGTCAGGCAAATTGTAGCTTGACTATTCAAAGAATAAGTAATCAAGGAAGGGATGAAGAACAACATGTCAGAGAATAGGGAGAGTTACTGTTATCAGTATGGCCTTTTTGAACTTATAGATTCTACATTTATATATATATATATATATATATATATATATATATATATATATATATTCAGGCTCTGTTCAGGATTTTCTAGAAAACAGTCAAGCATGCTATGGTAATGACAGCTCTTATTTATATACAACAGTAAATTGTGCCACAGCCTATCATAATTGACTATCATGATAGGCGATCATTTGAAAATATATATGAGCAGTGTCATGACAAAAGCAACATAGTGCGTTTGCGATCAGCATGGATTTAGGATCCATGCTGTTCTCTATCAGTTCCTGTACTTGTAATAGAGTTGGTTAGCGAACAGCATGGATCCTGATCAGACTGCGAGGATGCGCAGGCTGGTCTGGATCCATGCTGGTCGCAAACTCATTATGTTGGTTTTTTCGTGACACGGCTCATATGTAGATAATTTGGATTGAAGTACTATCATGAGTTTTATGTCAATTTCCTAGCTTTATGTTTTGGCAGAGTAAAAACTTCCTGTTTTTCTGATACTGCTTAAATCATTATTGTTGGTTTTTTTGTGTTTAGTTTAGTTTTACCAGGATATAACATTATTATCCTATATCAAACTATCAATAAAGTTGTTTTGCTGTTATGTTTTCCTCAGTCTTGACTGGCTAATATAATGGGTTATATATATGTATTTTAGTGACATTTTATTATTTAATCAAGAGTGTTTTAAGCAAGATCATTTCCTCAGAGCATGAAAAGTGTATCTTCTTTGCACACACAATTGATATACATGCATATATCATATAGATAACACGATAGTGTATTGATATAGCTTAAAGGAGATTTTGTAATTTGTGAAACTTAAACCGTAAGTTATTTCATTAGTTGTCTTTTAAAATGAAAAATTTTAAATTAGGTCATAGTATGTTATAATATATCTGTTATCTATGGTTGACTTGATTTGATTGTGTACATATACTTGAAAATTGATTTAAAAAAGGTAAAGTCATTTAACTATTTTCATGGCTACAATTTCTCTTTAGCCTAGTTTAGGATATATTGTAATTATATTTTATCTCGTAATTTAAGTTTTGACCCCAATCCACTACGTGTTTGTTCCATTCTTTGTTTAACTTTTTTTCCCTCTTTATTTCATATACAATATACAGTAAATCAAGTTCTATACAAATCCATGCAAATCAACAGGTTATATTTATGGAACGAAGACTCGAGGGGATCGGAATCGAGATCTTTCAAACAGTAGAATTTCTATTTGAAAAATCCTTAGGGTTTGGATAAATGATAATGCTTGTGGGAGGGGTTAAGTCAATATATAGTTGGCAGGGCTGTAGTTGGGGATAATGTTTAGCTTGCAGATCATGTGCCTCTGCATAAGCATTGCAGTTTAACTAGGGTGCATGAGGACTTAATACTTGGGTATTAATAACCTTAAAGTCAAAGACCCCAGGGCCACTATGTTCCAAACAATGGGGTGTCTGGTGTTCCAAACAACTGACATTATGCAGGTCATAAGTCAGCAAAATATTCCTAATTAATATAGAACTATGATGATATACATAGATATATGAGAGGTATAAAGATATCTAGTAAAGAAAGGTTACTAAGTTTATTGCATATTGTTTAGGTTTAGATAAATAAATATCTAGTGAATCACATTTCACCTGATAACTTAGTTTCTTAGTTGCTAAGCAAGTCTGAGAAATGAGAAAAACAAGTGTGGAATTTAAAGTGCTATGTTTATAAAAGCTGTTTTGATAAATATACAAAAAACAATGTTGTATTGATACCACAGGCACTAGTCACATAATCAAATATTTTACATAATCGGTCTATATATGTATATAAAGATACTTACATATATAGACCGATTATGTAAAATATTTGATTATGTGACTAGCGCCTGTGATTAATAGTGTTGATAAATAAATAAAAAACAATGTTGTTTATAAAAACTGTTTTGATAAAAAAACAAAAAACAATGTAGGTGGCTTAATTTTTTAAATGCAAATATCATAGTTTCTCAGTTAGATTTTGGAAAACAAACTTTATTTCACCTAAATGAAACTAAAACTAACGGAACATATATCATATTAAATTGCTTTTTAAAGAAAATGCGGTTTTAATGGAAAACACTGATATGTTACTGATGTGATGAAATGAAAAATGAAAACTAGTAAAAAATATATATAATATTGTTACTATATTTTGGTTATTTAGTGTTTTTAATAATTTAACCTGTTTGAATGGAAAGTCATTTAATAGCATTTGCCACCAGTCTTAAGCACCAGGCCAGCTAGACCACTGTCCTGACCATTTAATTCTACAGATTCCTTAAACTTTTGTGGGTTATTTTTAAATATATATTCATTATTAATATCTCTTATCATTTGAATGGACAATCTGGACTAATTAGATACAGTAAAGTTAGATTTTTTAATATGTAAATGATTGTATTTACAGCAATAGTTTAGTAATGTAATACATGATGATTATGCAATAGTTGATTTCAAGAAACCTACCCATTTCATGGAAATGTATATTTAGAGTTAGACATATAAACAGGTATTCAATTGTGACCTATATTTTGCTCTTACCTAATAAATTGTAAACAAGTTAAATAAGTCTGTTTGTGTAATAATGTAGACAGGAAGTTTAAAAAACTTTAATGTCATTATATTTACTGGTAAGTTTTTTTTGTGGTTACAAGTAAACAATTTTTTAAAATAAACAAGTATTTTGTTATATACTGTACTGTATATAAAAAAGCTATCTTGATACAGGCACATTATGCCTCAAAAATGACTTTTGTAAATGTTCTTCTTTCTTTAGAAAGGACAGACTGTTAAATAATAGTTTTATTCCATGTTTCTTGTTTATGACCTGAAGAAAAAAGCATAGCTGAACTCTGGAACAGGACCGCATATTGCTGTGCATAAATCCGAATCCGTACCGGCTTTACATATTGTTTGTGCGACCTTTGAATATCTTTTCATATTATGCGAGCAGGTGGTCTTTAATTATCTAATCTCAATTTAATATAATCTGTTAATTTAAAAATCAGTCAAATTTACGGTATATTTGACCAGTTTTAAAAGAGACAGATTGGGTTCAATTGATACTACATGTATATTTTTTGAGGCCATATACTCGGATAATACTAAAAGATATTTAGATGTAGCAGAAACATTTTTAAATCGAAAATATGCGCCGCAAGCTGCGGTCCTGTTCTCTGGTTCCCAGTCATTGAATTTAAGAGCCAGAATTACAGTTTTGAATTTATTCTACTACATGCAGCTATATATTTAACTAAATTTTCTTAAAATTTACACTGGCCCGAACTAATTTTCACTGGCCATGGGCCACCGGGCCAGTGCTAAATTCGATGCTTGAGTTCCTATGGAAAAAAGTGCTGAATATAAATTATAATTGTTTGTCATTAAAGTAACAAAATATAAACAAAGTAATATTTTGACTTCAGAAATATAACTAAAAAGCAATAGAAGCAGATATATGGTATTTGACCAATGAGCAAATCTTTTGAAACTATAGCAGGACACTTAAAAAAGGGAAGCTTTTGAGGAATAAAAATAAAATCATTTTTTAGGCAGTCACAGGGGCCTTTAAGAAAGACTATTTATAATATATTTTGTTAATAAGGAGTTTTTTGTATTACTTGTATAATGCTTGTAGCCTGCAGTTATTTTCAGTGAACATTTTTAAACTTTTATAAATTTACAGTTTGTTGCATTGAATTTGGTAGCAATTAGCAAATATCATAATATGTGTTGTTGTTGTTATTATTAATTAAATAATTATCAAATATATAGTAAATACATAATAATAATTCTAGTTTAATTTTTGCTTATATGCTGTCGAAAGGTGAAACTTTAAAAAGAAACTGTGATTGTATTTTTCTGTATGGTATTTCAAATATAAGATTGTTTTATGTCAAGTGTTGAATGTAATAATTTAAGTGTTTTGTTGGTGAATGCAGTCAAGTACTATCCTAAATATGAGCGGAAAGAGTTGATTTATAATGTTGAGATTCAAATGTCAAACTTATTATCACATTGTCTAAGTTATATATATATATATATATATATATATATATATATATATATATATATATATATATATATATATATATATATAGAGAGAGAGAGAGAGAGAGAGAGAGAGAGAGAGAGAGAGAGAGAGAGAGAGAGAGAGAGAGAGAATTATAATGTTTCAGAAATAACAAACTCTATGTAAATTTGGAAGCGCTTTCAATGCTTTCTTCGCATATCTTCAGCCGAAACTTTAATCGTTAAAATTTCAAAGTTTCATATATATGTGTTTATTGACCTGACATATATAAGCATGTACATTTTATATCAAACTCGTTTTATGTTGGATGAAAATTTTTGTTGTTGTGTCTTTCCTAAAAGTCGTTCTGTAAAAGTTAAAGTACTGTCACTGTCAGATACAGTATGTTCAAGAAAAAACTTTTTAAAAAATGAACATTACCGATGGATTCTGAATGATATTTTTAGAAATTTCCATGGGTCATGTGGATTATTGATTATTTTAGCATAGTGAAATAATAAAAAAAAACACAATTATGGCAAAATGTAAAGTTATTTTGACTTTCACTAGTTTAAGGTCTTTATATACCATAGACATGCCACATCAGACAAAAGAAAAAAAATAATGAAGTGACTTATAACATTATAAATTTTTATAAGCCAGAGCTAGACTTTCATCTGTGCACTAGCCATTTACACTTAGACAGGCATAGTCACTGTTAAATAATTGACTTTTTGATCCAATGAATTTATCTATAATTCCAGTGTAAATTTAATGATTTTGATGTAAAAGTTTGATTTTTACCATTCCAGATTGAACACTACAGATGATGTATTGCGGGACTGTAGCATCAATGATGCTGTTTATCCTAGTGTTTGAACAAGTTTTGGCAAAAAAGGATTATAAATTCTATAATATCTCTCATGGACCTATGAAACACGAGACAGGAAGATAGTAAGTGCTTGAAATAATCACATTACCCCAATGCTTGGCAAATATATCATTCTAGAGAAGCGTTGCCGAGTGGTTAATGTGTCAGACTAGTAATCTAAGGATTGCTGACTGCATGGGTTCAAACCCTGTCTGGGAAAAGCCGTTGTTTCCTTAAGGAAGAAACTTTACATTCATTGCTTAGTTTTAGGTGGTTCCAGGAACAGATTTGAGAGTTTTTCAATAAGCTTATAGCTGCCAGTACAGTCAAACTAAAGTAAATTTGTATAAACTAAATATATCATTTTACTCTGTCTGTTATGTGTCTGTCTGTCTGTCTGTTTGCCTGTCTGTCTGTCTGTCTGTGAAGTTCATTCTGATCATATGAGCAAGATTAGGTATAACCTTCAGTTGAAGATTGCTGGTAGCCACAGAATGTTTCAACACAACCTGTGCAGACCAAGATCAGTAAGCTCATTTATGGTCTGCACTGTCCACCATTTAGTCTGTAAATATTTGAAATTTTCCCTAAAATATGATGAATGGTTTTGTCCAGATTGAAAGATGTAAAAACCAGTTTTTAGCTCGACTATCGGTGTCGGCGTCCGGGTCCAGATTTCAGATTAGAGTTTTGGTGCAGTAAAATATTTTTCACTATAACTTCTTTATTTCTTAAGGGATCAACCTCATACTTCAAATATATGTACCTTATCATCATCCCCATCTTATGTGACAAGGTTCATAACTCTAGCACCAATATTTTCAGATTTATTTCCCCTTGAATTTAGAATTTTCCGTAAAAATACTATTTTTTACTTTAACTTCTTTATTTTTGTCAAGGGATCAACCTCATACTTCAAATATATGTACCTTATCATCATCCCCATCTTATGTGACAAGGTTCATAACTCTAGCACCAATATTTTCAGATTTATCTCCCCTTGAACTTAGAATTTTCCTTAAAGAATACTATTTTTTACTGTTACTTCTTTCTTTCTTAAGGGATCAATCTCATACTTCAAATATATGTACCTTATCATCATCCCCATCTTATGTGACAAGGTTCATAACTCTAGCACCAATATTGCAAGAATTATCTCCCCGTAAACTTAGATTTTATACTAGAAAAATGTTTTTTTTACTATAACTTTTTTAGCTTTAAAGGTATCTACCTCAAACTTCAAATACTTATTCCTTAACATCAATTACATTTTATGTGACAATGTTCATAACTCTTGAAGCAATATTTACAGATTTATCTCTCTTTGAACTTTAGATTTTCTTTAAGAAATATTATAACTTCTTTACTTTTTAAGGTATCTACTTCAAACTTCAAATATATATTTCTTATCATTATACACATGTTGTGTGACAAGGTTCATAACTCTAGCGTGACTATTTCTAGAATTATTCCCCTTGATCTTGGAATTTATGTTAACAAATGTTATTTTTTTACTATAACTTAATACATAATTATACATAATTGATTTTTCTTTCATAATTTTGTCCTCACTGCATCCAGTATTTTATTAGTCGAGCTTCACTGTCTCCTGTGACAGCTCTTGTTTAAATGCGTACCAGTTGTTTTAAAAATCAAACACAACTTACACGGATACACTCAAATGGCCCAAGTGTAACTCGGATAGACTCAAGGTTGGTTTGTTTGTATGTACTGTTTACACGAGTGGCCAACCGTTTAAGTCATGTGTTGTGTGTGAGATGGCTTAAATTATGGAGTAAAAAAGTGTTGTCGAGTACCAGAATATCTCTATTACAAACTCAGTTTTAATTTAAGTGCACACCCTATAATCGGCTAAAGGGCATTAAATTCTCGACATTAAAAATAAAATTAAATGGTGGACATGTAGTCTGATAGGGATACCTGCATTATAAGTGACCTGTTTCAGAGGGGTACAACTCTATTGTAATCTAAGTCACAAGAACTATGAACAGAAAATAATTCAGATTTAATTTTTGAGCTAATTTAACAATTAATTTATATATGAATGCCATTTCTTATTTTTGTTTATTGGTAGTTGATACATATTTAATAGATTTATAAAATTATAATATTATACTTTCAGCATATATCAACCACAGTTTGGGGACCCAAAGTACTGTAGGTACTGCCCATTAGAGGCTGTGCTAAATAGTGAATATGATGATGCCCAGCAACCAAAGTGTCTAAAGAAATACCAAGGAAAAAACATTGCTGAAGAGATTTTACCCCAGGAGAAAGCTAGTTTAAATTATCCATTGTGTGACGAAGGAGATGTTCCTGGTAAGTCACTTTGATATAATTATAATTCTTATATAAGACCAGTGTCAAAGTGGTTAGAGTTACTGGACTGAATTTTTTCCCCTCTGTAGATTTGAACATATGATGAATTAAGCTAGCATGAACCATCCATAGAGGCAGAGCAGGCTCAAAACTGTCTCCTTACATAAACTTTTCATAATGGACAGTTTGAAGAACAGATGCTTGACAAATCCATTTAAGTAATTAAATAACTTACAAGTTAATTGTTGTTTTTAAATGAATCTTTGTTAGGTAGGTTATTTAATTACTTTTACACAGGGTGTGGACCACCACCAGAAATAAACAAGACAAAAAACCATGAGTGGGTTTGCGATCCAGGTTACAGTTTTGTTAATTACTCAGTGTATTTTAAGTGTGCACTTGTTTGTAATATTACTGAGAGGTTGGACTGGCAGTATTACTGCAATGAGTCGCTCCAGTGGGAAGTACAGCCAGCATCTGTGTGGCAAAAATGTGAAGGTATGTGAAAGTTAATTTATCATGCATATATGTTACCTGTGAAAAAAATGTTAGTATTTAGTGAATAATCATAGAGAACAGTTGTTATCTTGGGTATTAATTCAGCTTTTTGAAGAATAGTAGGTAGGGCTATCCTACACATATGGGCGCCTGCTTGTGTTTTTGGCGTAACAATCACTGCTAAAGTTTTGCGAGCAACATAATATCTCATTAACCACTAATTATATTTGTTGGCACATTTATTTGAGAGCATTATAGGAGAACAGTATCTAAGGCCCCTTCTAAGCTACTGAAGCTATTCACTTAAAACTTCATACATCACTTTCTGATCATAGCTAGAGGTCACTTTCCAAGACCCATAACATGTACATGTATGTCATGTACATTATTTGTATCTACATAGGAGTACAAAAAAGCCATAATGGCTGCAACTATTTTGTAAACATGTTGTCTTTGTAAAGAAATAATGATGGAAGGATTTTAACAGCAGCATGCCTCCAGATTCATAATTATTTAAATATATTGAAAAGTAAAATATTGTCAAGAGAACAAAGAAAGTCATTTACAGACTGCAAACAGCACTTTAAATCCATGTAATTTACCAAAAAGAGGTTAAAATATTCTGAAAGAGCCCTTAATGTGTTAGTAACATAGTAGAAATATTGTGATAAATACTGGAAAATCAGTCATTAATCACATAGAACATGTAAATTATTTCTTGAATCTTGAATCTTTTTACTTTTCTTAAACTCTTAGTTCATTTTTCTCAATTTTGATTTTGCCCTAAAATATTTTGGTTTATCTGGAGGCATGCAGCAGTAAATAAGTAACATAGGCAGCTTCTCTCTGTTTATTGATATGCTACTCAACATAACACAAAGGTCAATTTTTAAACTCTGCATGCCGGTTAATGCCCTGCAAAATTTAAAAAAAAATTGTCATGTTAAAACAATGTATTATGTATCTGAACTTCAAGTCAAGTGATTGCAGCCTCTGACAATTCAATCAGGGATTAAATGTTGGCTCATTGGTCTACAGTGGTGGGTTTATATGGTTTGTGTGTCGGTTGGGGTGTGACATGCATTCCGTGATGTGCTAGATTTTCCCTGTGCAACTGTCGGTTACAAATTTGAAAAAGTTTGTAACAAAGTAATTGTTTTGAAGTTTATGAAGAGTAAACAAAAACTGACTGAAACTTGAGTTACCATTTGAAGTTAAACACAAAAACAAATATTATTTACAAGATTTCCAATTGAAATATATACATTATCTACACAACAGGAAAATAAATATATAATGTTTTTGTGAAAGCAATGTGAAATGATAGTGTTTATGTTAAAAGATACTGAATTGGTGTCATGAATGATGTCTTTATATTGTTTGTTTTTTTTTCAGCCCCTGTAATTGAACCTGAAATCATTGAACCTGAAAGTAAGTATTAATATTGTATTAACTATATTTTGTCATGATGATGATTATTTAAAACGTATTTATTTTTTAAAAGTTCTTGCAATTTGTATTTATTAATTATTATAACACCCTAAAGCACCTACAACAGTATTATTTGCCTTAGTTTTAAAATGCCTTCTGTACACCACAACATTAATAATTCAGTATGAATTGACATATTGCTAAAAAACCCTTATATTTTAACATTTTCATACGCCTGTTTAAAAACGGGTTGTTTTACAGTTTTCCCCCTTTGGGGGAAGTCGTTCGGGCTGCAGCGTCCAATTTTTGTAAGGAGCAATTATCTCCTATACACATGGAGGAATTTTAATGAAACTTCATTGAAGTGTTCACCACTGAGAAACTGTGTCAAGAATATGAGTCAGGTCTCTAGGTCAAAGGTCAAGGTCACAATTAGAGGTCATAAAAAAACGCACAGAGCAAAACTTCTTCATGCGTAGGGGGATTTCAATATAACTGGCACAGATGTTCACCATAATGTGAGGTGGAGTGTCATAATTTAGGTCCCTGCTGCCAAGGTTAAGGTCATACATGGGGGTTAAAGTTCAGATAAAAATACAAAAATGTGTATTTAGACCATTTAGTCCTCATTTATTGAGGGATTGAAACACAAATGGTCATTATCATAACTACTCAGGTGTGAAACATGTAATTTAGGTTAATAAATGCAAGGGCAAGGTCACAAAACTTCTACATGCATAGAGGGATTTCAATATAACTTGGCACAAATGTTTATCATTGTGACGCTTATTGCGCACATAATCCAGGTCCCAACTACCAAAGTCAAGGTCTCATAGAGTGGTCAAAGTTTGTGTACAGGGACCATTTAGTCATTATTTATTGATGGATTGTAACACAAATGATAACTGTCATGACTACAAATGTGACACATGTAATTTAGGCTAATATTTTCAAGGTCAAGGTCAGTATAAATGATAAAATATCCAGGTATTTTCCGGATATTGCCCAGCACAAATCTCCTTTTTGCATATCTGCAATGCCCATATCTCTGTCAAATGCTTTTGTGACAGGCCTATTTTGTGACAATGTTGCCCTTGTTATATTTAGAGAATGGATATCTCAGATTAATAACAGACGGTTTCATATTTAATCTTTTACAATATCCTGCAAAACTTAGATTTATTTTGCCTTTAATAAGGGTCATTTGCACACCTGTGTATTATACATTCATTGTGTATCACAGTATGACCTATCTGGACATCTATTTTGCAGGGAGGAGTAAATCATTAGATTTTCTAAGTGAGAGTCTTTTTGTCCATTCCTGAGAATTACTTTTATATTATGAAACATTATATGAAATACAATGATTTTTAGATCATTTTTAGCTCGACTATTCGAAGAATATGAGAGCTATTGTAGTCACCCCGGCATCGGCGTCCACGTAGGCGTCTGCGTTGGTTAAAGTTTTTTGTAAAGTCAAATATCTCAATCATTGCTTGAGATATTCAATTGAAACTTACAATACTTATTTATAGTAACAATGTACATCAGATTGACAAGTTGAATAACTCTGCCTACAATATTGACAGAATTATGCCCCTTTTTAACTTAGAAATTTTGGTTAAAGTTTTTTTTGTAAAGTCAAATATCTCAATTATTGCTTGAGATATTCAATTGAAATTTACATTACTTTTTGATAGTAACAATGTACATCAGTTTTCAAAATTGCATAACTCTGTCTGCAATATTTGCAGAATTATTTTCCCATTTGAAACTTAGAAATTTTGGTTAAAGATTAAAGGTCTTCAAAGATATTTACTTGAAACTTTATACATGTACTTAGGGTCATAATTGGAGGGTCATAATTGTATGTCACTGACGGAGTTCCATAACTCTATCTTGCATTTAGGCTGATTCATCTCCCCTTTTCTTCTTAGTCTCTTGGTTAATGTTTACATGCAAGTTTTACATATCTCAATAACTATTAAAGATATTTATTTAAAACTTCACATATGCATTTAGGGTCATAATTGTAGGTCACTGACCAAGATCCATAATTCTTTCTTACATTAAGGCTGATTTTTCTCCCCTTTTTCAACTTAGAAATTCATGGTAAAGTTTTGCTTGTAAGCTGTTATCTCCATAACTACTGAAGGGTTTGTGCCTTTTTTGGGACAATCTTATGTATTCATAATAATAAAGCAGTGATTTACTTGATAAAACATTTTAATAACAAGCCTTTGTACCTTTTCGGTCAATATTATGTATTCATAGGTAATTAGCATTATTATGCTCAATAATGACCCTTGTGACAACTTTTGGAATAGTCGAGCCAATACTGTCCTACAACAGTTCTTGTTATTTGTCACTATATATTTGGCTTGCATTTTTATATTTTATGTAATTCGTTTCTTTTGATATTTCAGTTTATTGGTTGTCAAAATATAATATTATTTAAACATGATTTTGTATTTCACAGGTACTGATAAGCTTGTCATCATGGTAGTAGCTTTAAGTGGTGGATTGGTTGTAATAATTGCAATAGCTGTATTTTTTTCCTGCCTATATTATGAAAAAATTAAAAGAGCCAGATCTAGGGAAAATAGTATGTAGAACAATTTGTTTATTCAATTCCATTATAAGTTTTAAATTTTGAAAGCACCTGTAACAAATATTATGATGTTTATACATTGTAAAGTACAATACTGAATTCAATTTTACTAGTACACAGCTGTCAAAACTATATTGGATGATGCAATAGCCAAGTCTGATATAGATTTTGAGGTTGTGTAGGAGTCCAAAATAACCAGTATTGTTGCCAACCAATTGTTTAAAGACCTCTTTAATTCACACATACATTTTTTGACATTTTACTTCAATTTCAGTAAAAATTTGATAGAGGTTTTGGAGTCTGAAAGTGAAAATGAGCAGGGCTAGACAAATTTTTTGGGAGTAACTCGTCCTGCAGGGCGAGTAGCTCAGAATTTTTACTTGTCCTGCTGCAATATGTACTTGTCCTACAGTTCACTAAAAACCACACAGTAGATTAGATGATGCTTAAAGAGCAGGAGTTAATAAAACTGCGTTAGCCCTACCTAGCCTAGGCAGTTTTATATTGCACCCCCATCCCACTCCAAAGACCAACTGATAGATTGGACAAGAGTGTACAGAATGGATAGAAAATGGAGAAGATCACATTTATAACTACATATGATCTTTCCATTCTGGTAAACAGATATATAACTCAAATGAAAATAACCTACCTTTCAATAATGTCCATATTATGTTATACCCCCTGGCGTCCGTCTGTCTGTCTGTCCGCACTCACAGGAGAGTAATTATGTGGCTAGAGGGACAATAGGTTCTCTTTGATGTCATTCATTCCGTAATGCTTTTATGTGGCTATTTTCTTTTGCGTGGCTAAAAAGAACAATAGAGAAAACAATAGAGTAGCCACATAATTACTGTCCTGTGAGAACGTCCGTACGTACGTCTGTCCGTCCGTTAGCATTTTGGTTTCCGGAGCATAACTTAAGTTCCATTTGGCCCACAATGTTCAAACTTCATAGGATGATTGTCCATATTGGGTAGAAGACCCCTATTGATTTTGGGGTCAAAAGGTCAAAGGTCAAGGTCAGTATGACCTTAAAATTGAAAACAGTTTCCGAAGCATAACTTAAGTTCCATTCACCCACAATGTTGAAACTTCATAGGATGATTGTCCATATTGGGTAGAAGACCCCTATTGATTTTGGGTCACAAGGTCAAAGGTCAAGGTCACTATTACCTTGATACTGGAAACAGTTTCCGGAGCATAACTTAAGTTCCAATTGACCCACAATGTTCAAACTTCATAGGATGATTGTCCATAGAAGGAAGAAGACCCTATTGATTTTGGGGTCAAAAAGTCAAAGGTCAAGGTCACTATGACCTTAAAACTGAAAACAGTTTCCGGAGCATAACTTAAGTTCCATTTGACCCACAATGTTGAAACTTCATAGGGTGATTGTCCATATTGGGTAGAAGACCCCTATTGATTTCGGGGTCACAAGGTCAAAGGTCAAGGTCACTATTACCTTGATACTGGAAACAGTTTCCGGAGCATAACTTAAGTTCCATCTGGCCCACAGTGTTCAAACTTCATAGGATGATTGTCCATATTGGGTAGAAGACCCCTATTGATTTTGGGGTCAAAAGGTAAAGGGTCAAGGTCACTATATCCTTAAAACCAAAAACAGTTTCCGGAGCATAACGTAAGTTCCATTTGGCCCACAATATTCAAACTTCATAGGATGATTGTCCATATTGGGTAGAAGACCCCTATTGATTTTGGGGTCACAAGGTCAAAGGTCAAAGTCACTTTTACCTTAATACCGAAAACAGTTTCTAGAGCATAATTAAAGTTCCAATTGGCCCACATAATTCAAACTTCTTAGGATGATTGTCCATATAAGGTAGGAGACCCCAATAGATTTTGGGGTCACAAGGTCAAAGGTTAAGGTCATTATTAATAACTTAAGTATTAATCAACCTACAGCTGTAAAATTTAATAGGATGAACAGCGAATTCACATGTCTTACAAATGCTTCATCCTTACTAAAAAAAAAACACTTTCGGGCATATAATGCTCTGCCTAGCGGTGCTCTTGTTAGGGATTGAAAAACAAAAAACACAATGCTTAAAAAATATAGATTTCTAACATATTCTGACTCATTTTTCTTTTTTGAAGACACTGTTTAACTTTCTCCTCCCTGGCCAAACATTTGCCGAATATTTAAAAAATATTTTGTGAACAAATTTTTGTATATCTAAAGATATTGTTTATGTGACGTAAATTATCAAATTAAAAGGAATTATGGCAAAATGAAAATTTATATTTCCTCTAACCTGTTCACCCACTATATACCTTTAGATGGGCATAATGTCACTTTAATATACATAAACTACCGTACATACTGTTTGGTCTTAGAAGTTGAAGTAGGAATATAGAGAAATTTAGTTATATTAAGTGTACATGCATAGGAACAGCAGAAAATATAATGATTTTCACTTTAACTCCATTTTGTAGGAATTTCCCCTTTTCCATTGAACAATGTGTGTTAAAGTACTATTAGTTTTGACTTAAATAAAGATAAAAGATCCAAGCATTGTTTCCTCTATTGCATTTTGGTTATACCTTCTTTTTTTTAGTGGCGATGACGGAAATGGTAGAAATGAATGGAGTGATAGGTATGTCTTGTGTTATATTAATGTTAAAATTACAGTATCAATTTTTACCTCATTTGAGCATTATCAAATATGACCAGAAATAATTTATTGGTCACATGTTAATTCAGAATATAGGTTTACCATTAATATATGGGAAATAACTCTACTTGGTTTAGAATTAAATCACATATTTATTTAAATTTGCTCATGACATAATTACAATTGGCTCCATTTAGGGGTCAACAGAGCTAAAAATAGAAAAACCTTTAAAACATCTTCTACTACTAAATTAAATGATGGATAATCACCAAAATTTGTCTGTAGCATTTTAAGGCACATGTCTCCTTGTACAGAACTAATTGATAGATGATCACCAAATTTTGTTTGTTTTTTACACCTTTTCCCAACAGTATTTCAGTCATATAGGCGGGTAGTTTCCTAACCAAATTTTGTCTGTAGAATACTTAGGTAGTCTTTTATCAAGTTTGCTCATATTAATTTGATTAGCCCCTTTAACCCATTACCTCATATATATGCGAAACAACGCACTTTCGACTAGACCCCCCCCCCCTTTTTTAAGCCTCAAAGAGTGAAAAAATGTCCTATTTGGGCCCCAAACACATGTTTTCGTTTGAAAAATGTTGCTAAAAAAATTGAGCACTTTTTCGGTGCCGCCCCCCATCCAAAAGATACATCAGGGGGTTGCCAGAAGGGGGATGTGCCCCCTTCTGTTAGGGGGGTTTGAAGGCGGGCGGAATCCCCCTCATCGCCAAGAAAATTTTGGACTTGTGAGAGGCTAAAAATGACCCCAGGTCGATCATAATGTAATGTGTAACCGACGCTGAAAAGCCTTTGACTCTATCTCAATCCCTTGAGAAGATGCAGCACCAAAAACAGCACTAAAAAGGTTAAAAAGGCAATGGTCCAGTCAACATTTGTGCCAAGTTTGATTAGTATTGAAGTATTTTTCATAGTTTCATAGCAGTTTAAACTTGTAACAGGAGGCTTTTCAGTGAAAACGGCCATTTATCACAATATGCTCCTGGAGGAAAGGGTTAAGGGGCAGCTAAAGCTAAAAATAGAAAAACCTTTGAACATCATCATCTCATACTTAAATAATTGATTGATAATCACCAGACTTTGCCTGTAGCATTCTTAGTGGCCCTATTGTTTATTATGAAGAAAAAGAAAAAAAACAATCAGTGTTGTGGAAGTATATTACTAGAGGGGCAAGTTAAAGTTGATAATTTCACTGTTTAGAATTTAAGCCCCTTACATTGTTTCGGTGAAATACAAGCATGCACAGTACTGGGTACCAACTTGATGAAGTGACGTTGCAAATGACGGCGCATTGTATTATTATTTGGCGCGCTTTTCATTCAGTATTATGTTTAATGTCATTTTAAAATGTTACAATGCATATAATAAAAAGAAAATTTGTTTAGTTTCCTGTAAGATCGAAATATATTTTACCTTGTTGCTGCGCCACTCGTGAAATATACCTTTTGGTGCTCACTTGTTGAAATATATTCCGATCTTACACTGAACTAAAGAAATATCCTCTGTATATTTTCACGAGCCAGTAAAGCAAGTCAAAATATATTGAGTTTTATCATTTTGAGTGAAAATGTTTTCCATATTTCTTGACCAAAATAATACCTTTTTATTAATTTGCCATCAAGAAAAAACACAAAACTGTTTAGGAAAATCCTAATTATGCCCCCACTTCGAAGAAGAGGGGGTATATTGCTTTGCACTTGTCGGTCCGTCGGTCCGTAGACCAAACGGTTTCCGAGTGATAACTAAAGAACCCTTAGGCCTAGAAACTTCAAACTTGGTATGGTGATTGTTCATGACCAGTAGATGACTCCTATTGATTTTGGGGTCAAGGGGTCAAAGGTCAAGGTCACATTGACCTTGAATGCAAAAACGGTTTCCGATCAATAACTAAAGAACCCTTAGGCCTAGGAACTTCAAACTTGGTATGGTGATTGGTCATGATCAGTAGATGACCCCTATTGATTTTGGGGTCAAGGGGTCAAAGGTCAAGGTCACATTGACCTCTTAGGTAAAAACGGTTTCCGATCAATAACTAAAGAACCCTTAGGCCTAGGAACTTCAAACTTGCTATGGTGATTGGTCATGACCAGCAGATGATCCCTATTGATTTTGGGGTTAAGGGGTCAAAGGTCAAGGTCACATTGACCTTGTAGGTAAAAACGGTTTCTGATCAATAACTAAAGAACCCCTAGGCCTAGGGACTTCAAACTTGATATGGTGATTGGTCATGATCAGTAGATAACCCCTATTGATTTTGGGTCAAGGGGTCAAAGATCAAGGTCACATTGACCTTGTAGGTAAAAACGGTTTCCCATCAATAACTAAAGAACGCTTAGGCCTAGAAACTTCAAACTCGGTATGATAATTAGTCATGACCAGCAGATGACCTCTATTGATTTTGGGGTCAAGGGGTCCAAGGTCAAGGTCACATTGACCTTGTAGGTAAAAACGGTTTCTGATCAATAACTAAAGAACGCTTAGGCCTAGGAACTTCAAACTTGGTATGATGATTGGTCATGACCAGTAGATGACCCCTATTGATTTTGGGGTCAAGGGGTCAATGTCATATTGACCTTGTACTTAATGACGGTTTCTGACCAATAACTCAACAACTCAAGTTGCCTCGGTTGATATTTTTATATTAAACTAATACACATTTGAAGGTCTGATGTAATATAACAACTTGGCTGTCATTAATGAGGCCTACATGATTCATAAAATTTATGCATATATTATTTGGTAAGATTTGTAATAACTTAAATTGCTGCACACAACCTATGGGGTCACAATAATTATTACCTTGTGACTAGTCATGACCAGTAGATACTAGATAACCCTTATTAATTGTTTGTTCACTGGGTCAGAAGTCATGCATAATAACCTGATCACATGACTAATTGGCTGCCGATAGGGGGCATACATGTTTTACAAACATATCTTGTTAAATTCTAATTTAACGGGATGCAGTAATTGCTTATTTGTCAGCAGAAAATATAATGATTTTCGTTTGAACTCCATTTTTGAGGAATTTCCCCAATTTCATTTAAACCACTCATCTATTGCTGTATACTTATTATAGTTTAAAAACAAATTTGAGTCATCTACGTGTGTTTAAGTACTGGTAGCTTTTACTCAAGCAAAAATCCAAACATTGTTTCTTATATAGTATTTTGTTGTTTTTTATTTGCAGTCGGGTTAAATAATGCAAGACTTGATATCAATGAAGGGAATGAAGAGACAGGTAAGTCTTCTGTTATATAAATTATAAAATTACGAGTCCCATCTTAACCTCATGATATATTTGCCTGAATATTAAATATGACCAAAAATAATTTTAGTGACATTTTGGTTCACCACAGAGGACTAATTAGGTTTGCCATCAATAACTTTACTTGGTTTAGACTGAAATCACATTTTTATGAAAATCCACGTTATTGGGCAATATTCTGTATATCAGGATATGCTATCACTATAGTGCAGTTATGGGTTAGCTGGCATTAAATTATGTACTAAGTAGTTAACACTTTACTGCATATTAAATTGATGATGTATAAGTCAATTGTTTTCACTATAATATCATGAAAGATCATTGGGGTCAAAGACACTAAAGATAAATAAATAATGTTAACGACTAATTTGTCATAAAGTTATAAGTAAACTTGTGCATATATACTTGTAATTATCCAGATGAGCAGTAAAAGGGCCATAATCTCCTCTTTAAAAAAAAAAACAAGAAAATAAAACAAACAATAATATTTAGGAAAATTCAGTGATGAGGATAGGGTTATTGTCCCTCCGCCTCTCCGAAGAAAAAAGTGGGATATAGAAAAAGGTAGGGCTGTGCATTGCCATTTTTTTCTGTCACGATACATATCACGATATTTGTTTTTCAAAACGTTGCGATTCACGATATGTATTGCATACTTTGAAGAAATGCGATGCATATTGCGATTCTTATGTTGCGATGCGATACGTATCACGATACTGACTTTTAGACTTAGTATATAAAAAATTGGCCATTTGTTTACAGCATAATTACGAATATAATATAAAACTATTACAATAACAAAAAAATAAACTCTTTAACTTGTTGTTATAACTTGGTTTCCGATTTTGATCTTTTAACAATTTACTTTTCTGATTACTTGAGGATTAAAGGTATTTTTAATTAAACCATAACAGCAAATGGATATCTACTAGCTATTCTATAATTATGGCAGTTTAACAATTTCAGTCTTACAATGCACCACTAAAGATTTTTCCTGTGAAAAAAATAGTAACAAGTGATCTACAATTAGGTCAACAACTGTGAAAATAACAGTTTATAAGTTTCAGTCTCAGTTTTCTCAAAAGATTTGTGCTCAACCCCAGAGTAATTTATTTTGATTTTGCAAACACTCCACGTCCATTCCACATTATACAACACTGTCTCATGGTTCCCCAAAAACTACAATTTTCCCAAAACTCGTGACTTATATGACCAGGGAGGATTGACTGTAATTTCCCCGTCTACATATTTTGCAGTCTTCATGTTTTCTTGTTGTTTTTTACGGGAAAATGATGTCAACGGAAATGAAAGTATAAATACGTGACGAATATCATATGGGGATGTTGTCATCATCACTATTTTAATCCGACATTTAAGTGCTACAAAATAAAATTCATGTTTGTAGGTTATTTTTCTTGAAATCGCACAGATCTCTAATTATGTTTTTATTATAAACAAGTTCAAAGAACACCAGCCCATTTACATGCAATTGATAAAACTTGGTTAGTAACCGTTAAATGAGTGCGGACATGGGGAAGCGAGATGACAACGATGGTATGATAATAGTCGCGCTTGTTTATTGTTTTCATCTGAGCTATTTTTCTTTCTTCAGTCTGTCAAAAATACGTTTGTCCTTATATTCCTGGAAGATATTGTTAGTGTATTGCGATACCTTCCCGCTGTATCGATACATCGCGAGGTGAAATATGTATTGCATCGCAATATATTGGAATTTGGAATTTCATTACAATGCATACATCGGGGACAAGACAGATCGCGATGAATCGATGCATCGATGAATCGTTACACCTCTAGAAAAAGGCTCTGTCCCTAAGTCTGTCTGTCCGCACCACTGAACAGGGATAGAGGGCCATCTAACTGTAAACAGAACAAAAGAGATCAATAGTGTTCATTGCATAACAATAGAGTAAGGGGCCATATGCCCTCTATTAAACAATAGAAAATAACAAAAGAAATGGCCCTTTATTCCATTTTGGCCGGATGTCCGTCCGTCTGTGTCTGTGCAAACATTTGATATTTATGAGCTTCATTCTGTAGTTAAATAAGAACAAAAACTCATAAGATTCAAATTTAGAGCTATTTTTTTTGTTTTTATGAGCTAAATTCAGATCAAAGGAATAGTCACATAAGTACCATTTTGTGAGTACGTCTGTCCGTCTGTCACATTTTCGTGTCCGGTCCATAACTTTGTTATTTATCAAAGGAATCTAAAATAACTTGGCACAAATGTTTGTTATAATGAGACGATGTGTCATGCACAACAACCAGACCCCTACCTCCAGGGTCAAGGTCGCACTTGCTCATTCATGGTCAACATTGTCTATTTGAGGGTGTATGTCGTGTCCGGTCCATAACTTTCTTATCTTTGATGGGATTTTGTAAATACTTGACACAATTGTTCACAATAATAATGAGACTATGTGTCATGCGCAAAAACCAGTCACCTACTTCCAAGGTCAAGGTCACACTTGGAGGTCAAAGATTAACATAGTCTGTTACAAGGTATATTTTGTGTCCGGTCCATAACTTTTTCAAAGATCAAAGGATTTTGTTAATACTTGCCACAAATAGTCACTATAATAAGATGAGGTGTCATGTGCAACACCTGCATTCTTACCTCCAAGTTCAAGGTCAGACTTAGAGGTCAAAAGTTAACATAGTCTGTTTTAGGGTATATTTTGTGTCCGATGTAGAACTTCTTCGGGAATTTGAATCTAAACACAAATAGTCATAGTAATTAGACGATATGTCAAGTACAACACCTGCACCCCTACCTCCAATGTCAAGGTCACTCTTAGAGGTCAAAGGTTAACAGAGTCTGTTATATTGTATATTTTGTGACCCGTCTATAACTTCTTCTAAGATCATGGGCTTTTGAAAATACTTGGCACAAATAGTCAAAATGATAAGATGATCTGTCATGAGTAACACATGTGTCCCTACCCTCAAGGTCAGGGCCACACGTAGAGGTCAAAGATTTTCATAGTCTGTTATAGGGTATATGTTGTGTCCAGTCCATCACTTTTTCGTAGATCAAGGGATTTTAAAAATACAATAATAAGACGATATATCAGGCGCAAAGCATGGGTGTTTACCTCTAAGGTCAAAGATTAACATAGTCTGTTATAGGGTATATTTTGTGTCCAGTCCATCACTTTTTCGTAGATCAAGGGATTTTAAAAATACAATAATAAGACGATATATCAGGCGCAAAGCATGGGTGTTTACCTCTAAGGTCAAAGATTAACATAGTCTGTTATAGGGTATATGTTGTGTCCAGTCCATCACTTTTTCTTAGATCAAGGGATTTTAAAAATACAATAATAAGACGATATATCAGGCGCAAAGCATGGGTGTTTACCTCTAAGGTCAAAGATCAACATAGTCTGTTATAGGGTATATTTTGTCTCCAATCTGTTATAGGGTATATTTTGTGTCCGATCTATAACTTCTTTATAGTTCAAGGGATTTTAAAAATACTTGGCACAAATAGTTACAATAATAAGACAAAATGTCATGCACAACACCTTCACCCCTACCTTCAAGGTCAAGGTCACACTTAAAGGTCAAAGCTTAACATGATAGATTTTTCAATTCCATTTACATTTTTATTCTTTAATAAATTTATTGTTGCATTTACAGATCTAGCATTGATCATAATTTTGGACTGATAGTCCTGAGATTCATACCTCAATCTTTTGAAATAGCACAATTTTTTGGCTTCATATGAAACTTTCCCGAGTTGGGGGACATTGAAATTCTTGTTATAACTAGACTTAATGTTTTGATTATTTTCATGTTTTGCAAGTTCAAATATAAACAATACACAACAACACTCAGGGTTTTTGGTGTTTGAAAGACTCTATCTTAAAGAAATGTAATGCATGATCATATTTGAAGTATTACTTTGTGCTGAACTGAAAGCTGTGTTAGATAAAGATAAGTTTGTAAAATTTAATGCTTAGCCTGCTGACATCAACTGTATCTACCTATATCTATGTTACCAGTGCAGACCAAGATCAGCTGTTACATCTGTATAGTCGGATCATGGTCTGCACTGTTTGCTATACAGTCTGTATATATTTTTAAAATATTCCTAAAACTGAATGAAAGATCTTGTTCAGATTGAATAATAGACAGGTCTTAATTTTCATATTTAGCATATGGTAAGAGTTAATTAATGGTGCATCTCAGCAGTATTTTCCCTATTTTTCTATCTTTAGTAGTAATACATTCATTTTTTAGCTGATCCTTTTACACCAGAAAGTGATTTGGAAGGTGGCAGTCAGTCAGGTAATAGATCTCCTAGTAGAGCTGAAAGTTTATCTGGTTCTACAAGAAGCTCAGACACTGAAGATGATGAGGGCAGTACAGATGATGAAAACACCAAATTAATAATGCCACATCCTTCAGGTAATATTGAAAACTATTGATTCACAGCAGATCTTGTAGCCCCCCTTTGCCACCCCCACACCCCTGCAAAACACTGAGGAGGTATATTTCTTAACTGTTAAATTCCCTTTTTTTGAGAAATAAAAAGATCAGCACTAAAATAAATGTATACTTGAAGCATATTTAAATTTACCACAAGATACTTCTGACAAATTTGTCTTAGAAGTTTAAAGTGTGTGTCCTTTATAAAAATTGGGTCAGTCAGTGTTTAACCTACATACCTCCAAATCAGCAAAATATTGCTAGAAAATTAGACTTTTGAAAAATATACAAAGAGTTTTAAAAAAGTAAAAAAGATTCTATATTTAAATAATGATTTACATGTTTTGTGCAATTACTGAATGTCAGATTTTGAAGTATTCATCACCATATTTCTACTGCGTGACTATAGTAGTAAGAACTATTTTTGCATATTTAAACATCTTTTTGGTAAGTTATGTGGATTGAAAGTGCGATTTTCAATGTATAAAAATAAGTTTCTTTTGTTCCCTTCAGACTTCCCAAATACTTCGGTCCGACGGACATGTCCGATAAATTTTGATCAGGTCCGACAATTTTTTATTCCGGATCGGTCCGATTGTCCGGTTTTTATCCAAGCCACATGTATACAAAATGGCGTCGCTAAAGGTGCCAAACCTGGGAAAAACAAAATCTACGTCAGAAGAGTGCGCAGAACAGCAATAAAAGGATGAAAAGTCTTTAAGAATAGACCTGAGACAAAATTTAATGAAAAATGGAAGCAGAACCATGAATCATGGAGGAGATGAAAATGTTCCGATTTTGATGGCGGAAAAAAAAGTGTCTTAGAAATACAAACTCAAGTTTCTCTTTGATTTTGATCAATTTTAGTTGGTCCGACAGATTATGTTTCGGTCCGACAGATTTTCATGGTTTGTCAGACCGAATGTCTGACAATTTTTAGCTCACCTGTCACAAAGTGACAGGGTGAGCTTTTGTGATCGCTTTTCGTCCGGCGTCCAGCCGTCGTCCGTCCGTCGTCCGTCCGTAAACTTTTACTTTAAATGACATCTCCTCATAAACCACTAAGCCAATTTCATCCAAACTTCACAGGAATGTTCCTTTGGTGGTCACCTTTAAAAATTGTTCAAAGAATTTAATTCCATGCAGAAGTCTGGTTGCCATGGCAACCGAAAGAAAAAACTTTAAATATCTTCTTTTAAAAAACCATAAGAGCTAGAGCTTAGATATTTGGCATGAAACATCTTCTAGTGAGTGTCTACCAAGTTTGTTCAAATAAAAGCCCTGGGGTCAAAATTGGCCCTGCCCCGGGGGGTCATTGATTTTCCCTATATGCATATAGTAAAAACTTTAAATATCTTCTTTTAAAGAACCCAAAGAGCTAGAGCTAAGATATTTAGCATGAAACATGTTCTCATGGGTGTCTACCAAGTTTGTTCAAATAAAAGCCCTGGGGTCAAAATTGGCCCTGCCCCAGGGGGTCATTGATTTTCCCTATATGCATATAGTAAAAACTTAAAAAATCTTCTTTTAAAGAACTCAAAGAGCTATGGCTAAGATATTGAGCATCAAACATGTTCTAATAGGTGTCTACCAAGTTTGTTCAAATGAAAGCCCTGGGGTCAAAATTGGCCCTGCCCCAGGGGGTCATTGATTTTCCCTATATGCATATAGTAAAAACTTAGAAAATCTTCTTTTAAAGAACCAAAAGAGTTAGAGCTAAGATATTTAGCATGAAACATGTTCTAATAAGTGTCTACCAAGTTTGTTCAAATAAAAGCCCTGGGGTCAAAATTGGCCCCGCCCCGTGGGTCATTGATTTTCCTTATATGTGTATAGCAAAAACTTAAAAAATCTTCTTTGAAAAAACCCAAATAGCTAGAGTTAAGATATTAAGCATGAAACATCTTTTAGTGTGTGTCTACAAAGTTTGTTCAAATAAAAGACCTCGGGTCAAAATTGGCCCTGCCCCGGGGGTCATTGATTTTCTTTATATGTGTATAGCAAAAACTTAAAATCTTCTTTGAAAAAACCCTAGAGTTTAGATATTAAGCATGAAACATCTTCTAGTAAGTGTCTACAAAGTTTGTTCAAATAAAAGCCCTGGGGTCAAAACTGGCCCGGCCCAGGAGTGTCATTGTTTTTAACTATATGTGTATAGTAAAAACTTTTAAAAAAATCTTCTTTTAAAAAGCCCAATGAGCTAGAGCTTAGATGTTTAGCATGAAACATCTTCTTATGGGTGTCTACCAAGTTTGTGCAAATAAAAGCCCTTGGGTTAAATTGGCCCTGCAGCGTTGGGGGGGGGATGGGGGTTGGGGGGCCTATATACAGGTGAGCGACCTCAGGGCCATCATGGCGCTCTTGTTTTTCAACTTTCGGGAAGTCTGTCCCTTTACAATATTTTAACTTTTGAATAAATTTTTAAAATTTTCATGAAAATTAGCATGGATCTGGAGGCATATTGCTTTAGATTCTGTTGTTATTGTTGTTTTCAGTCAAACCTACTGTGAGCATTATACAATTTGAGGGTGGAGAAAGAAAGAAGAGCATACCTTGGCAAGGAGACATATACTCAATAGAACGAGGTTTGCTTAAACAGTGTTATTTGTACGAAAATATGAAAAATTTTAGTAAACCAATGAAAATTAGTGAAACAAATGTATCATTGACTTTTTAATGCCCCTTGGATTCAGGAGATATTTGTTGTTGTATCATGTACACACTGCTTCCGAGAAAGATGCAGTTCATAATACATGAACATGGTGAATGTTACTAAGAAACAATGGAAATTTTTCAAGGGAATCTTTGAAATAAGCACCTTCTGGTATAATAAATAGGGAGTCAAGATTACAATGGAGGATTTTCTTGATATTGTCAATGTATAGCAACACAAAACTTAACATATTGTCACAGAAATGGTTATGCCAGAAATGGTTATCAAACATTTATGTTTTGCAGAGAATAAGAGATTAATACACAGCAGAGTAGGGTCGGAAGGTGATAATCAGCCCACAAAATGAATAATGGCCCGAGGGCTTCAGCCCGAGGCCATTATTCATTTCAGGGACGATTATCACCTAATGGCACAACTATGATGTGTATTAATGTATTTAATACAATTGGTAGATCTAATAGTAGCATTTTTATTATGCCCCCGCCATGTAATGGCCGGGGCATATAGTGTTACCCTGTTCCGTCATTCTGTCCTTCCGTCATTCTGTCATTCCTTCATCATCAGTTTCCGTTCATTATCTTAGTAACGGTTGCACACATTCAACTCAAATTTGACATATGGATCTGTCATGAGAAAATACAGGTCAAGTTCGAATTTGGTCATGGTTGGATGATTTTTGGCAGAGTTATGCCCCTTTTACTTTAAAATAATATGAAATTTTCAGTTTCCGTTCATTATCTCCCCAATGGTACAACACATTCAACTCAAAATTTACATATGGATATGTCATGAGAAAATACAGGTCAAGTGCGAATTTTGTTATGATTCGATGATTTTTGGCAGAGTTATGCCCCTTTTACTTTGAAAATAATATGAAATTTTCAGTTTCCGTTCATTATCTCCCCAAAGGTACAACACATTCAACTCAAATTTGACATATGGATATGTTTTTGGAATGCCTAGGCCAAGTTCGAATTTGGTCATGGTTCAATGATTTTTGGCAGAGTGATGCCCCTTTCACTTTGAAAATAATATGAAATTTACAGTTTCTGTTCATTATCTACCCAACAACTCAATGGATATGTCAAAGGAATGGGCAGGTCAAGTTGGAATTTGGTCATGGTTCGATGATTTTTTTGGCAGAGTTATGTCCCTTTCACTTTGAAAATAATATAGATACATCTTAGGAATAAGCAGTTTAAGTTTGAATTTGGTCGTGGTTCAATGATTTTGGACAAACTTATCTTTCTTGAATACTGGAAAAATTTTGAACTTTCAGTTTCAGCACTGAAATGTATGTAGCAATTATTTTGGCTACAAATATGAAATATGCTATTTTCAAAAGGTTAAGACTGAATAATTTCAGTGCCTTGAACATTGTATGAAAATAGTTTGTGTTAACATTGAAAAGTTTTAAGGGCTTTGAACTTAAAATGAAAAAAAATAATTTGTGCAAACAAATGTATTATAACATCTGAAATTTTGGCTGCATGCGGGGGCATCCGTGGCATGATGACACATTTCTAGTTTTATAAAACAAATACTTGGATATTTCTTTCCTTCAAATTCATGTCTGTACTTCTACTGTACAGTTACTTCTGGTGGGATTTCAATCAAACTTTACAGGAGTGATCAGTACCATCCCTTGTTGCGCACAATACCGGCACGTTTCCCTAGGCTGCACAAAATGGCCATCAGAGCTATGAATAGAAAAATCTTGTCCGGCTTTCACAGGTCAAGCTACAGGTGGGATTTCCATGAAATTTCAACATGAGTGACCATACGCAGTTTTGGGAGACATACGTTTTTGTGACAAAAACCCTTCTAGTTTATTTTAGTTTGAATGTGCAGAAAACTTAGAGCTTTTATGTTTTGTTAATGGTAGTCTTATACTTTCAGGATCAGATTTTCAAATTATACCAAACTCTACTGGAGGTTATGAAGTTACAAAGTTTAGGATAGAAAGAAAAGGGAATAGTGCTATTGGATGGGAGGAATATATCCACATGTACAATGTAAAAAATGCCTCTGATATGGATGCAGGACTTTACATGTGGTATATTACGCTTAGCAACAAGATTGAATATTGTGGAAGCTTTGAAATTAGCATAGCTTTGCCAGGTATGATGTTGTTTATAATTAGTGTTCAATTATCACATTTTTGTGTCGCCTCTACAGAGTAGACATATAGGGATCACTTCTCCATCGTCTGTCTGTCTGTCTGTCTGTCTGTCTGTCTGTCTGTCTGTCCGTACAAACATATACATACTTAGGGGGCTATGGGAACAATAGGTAACAGTAAATTTCCTTGGATACTTGTTCATTCAGAAAGCTCTTATTTGGCAACTTCTTCTCTTACATGTCTAAAAGAACAAAAGAGAGAGAACAAAAGAGTAGCCACTTAAATACCAAACTTTGAGCACGTCTGTCTGTCCGTCACACAAAACTGGTCCGGATTACTCCACAAAAATATACTACATGTAGTGTAATTTCATCCAAACTTTACAAGAATTATCAGTACCAAGTCTAGCTATGCACATCATTGGCATTTTTCTGTTCAATAATTTTTGTCAGAGTAATGGCCGCTTGAAAAACTTTTGGCCGAGTTATAGCTCTTTAATAGAAATATCTTTTGTCCTTTTAATGATTTTTAGCTCGACTATACGAAGTATGCACGGTAAATGTTATTTAAATTTTGCAAACAGGTGACCTTGAAGACATATAACTGTCTTATGCTGTCAATTTTACAGTTCCTTATAGTGCCCATTACCTATGGTCTACCTTAAGCAATGAGGGTACTGTTAAACTTCCTTTTCTCAAACTCAGATGGCTAGAATACCTCTCTTTGCTTGAGCTTATCATCCAGTCCCAAGCAAAATTCCTATAAAATATATATTTTGTTTACCTCGGATCTCTTTAACATGATCTCTGGTTCCTTCGGCAGAAAAAAAGTTGGCGGGTGACATGTCTGAATTAGTGACAGTGAGTCAGTGTCACATGTTTATGTAATTGTTATTCAGTTCGACAAAGTTGAATTTTTTTTATTATTAATAAAAGTTATAAATCTATTTTGCAATTGAAACAATGAAAGTATTAAATTTATTCTCCAGGTCAAATGATAAGTTTCTGATTCAACAAAAAAGTTACATAATTTTTTTTTATTAATTGCAGCAATTCGACCTAATACAATAGGGAAGGAGGCTAGCAACAAGGATACCAGTAGTTTGAAAACAGTAAATCCAGTTTATAATCAACCCCAGCAACCATCGAGTACTTCTCACTTGAAGTTTGACTCTATCCTCAACAATCCTAATGACCAGGATGTTATAGAGGATAATGAATTGTTGCCACAAGGAAATTTAGTAAGAGGAGAAGTTGTAAAAGAAACAAGAGGTGATGCTGACCCTTTCAGACATGCAGCTGATTTGAGCTCTGAAATGTTCAGAGATCAGTCACACCGTAACACAATAGATTCTGGCGTACAATCTTCTAATGGGCATCGCAGTAGTAGATCAAGTAATATAGCATCTGATAGGGCCGTTAGTCAACGCAACAACTCAAATGAAAATACTAGAGATGGTGATTTAAGGTACAGCACCAGTGGTTATCAGACGCAGACTAGCGCCAGTTTGGCTAGAGAACAATTTAGAGCTATTTTTGATGATGCTCCTCAATTAAGTATTGGATCATTAAATAAAAAGTCAAGAGAACTATCAACAGGTCTTGATATACAGGCTTTGCAGAAAAGAGGATATCTGAATCCTTCTGAAGATAGAAATGAAGATACTGGAGCCAGGGGAGGTGAATATACTAGTACCAGGGCAGGTGAATATACACGTGCCAGGGCAAATCAAGATACTGGTGCCATGGCAGATGAATATGCTGGAGCCAGGGCAGGTGAATATACACGTGTCAGGGCAGATGAAGATACTGGTGCCAGGGCACGTGAATATACTGGTGCCAGGGCAGATCAACATAATGGTGCCATGATAAGACCTGATCCAGCAGGAAGTGTTTCAGCTATGAACCACAGTGAAGGAAGTGGTTCTATACAGGAGACTTTTAGAAAACAGTTATATGTACCCGATAGTAAGTAGCTAACACATTTATATTAAGTAATTCAGAAAGTAAGATTTTTTGTATTTTTCAGAAGAGTTATTCATAGCTGGTCTTCTACAAATGTTATTTAACAGGTTTCAGTTTGATACATAAGTAGGTCACAGGAGCTAAAAATAGACTTACAAAAAATGAAGACTTTAAAAAAATCATATTTGAATCTACAAAGACTGAAGTTAAGATATTTGGCATGTAGCATCACATTTCTTAAACTACATTTGAGCTGCGCCATGACAAAACCAACATAATGCGTTTGCGACCAGCATGGATGCGCAGGCTGATCAGGATTCATGCTGTTCGCCTACAAACCCTATTACAAGTAGAGAAACTGATAGCGATCAGCATGGATCCTGATCAGACTGCGCCGTTGTGCAGGCTGGTCTGGATCCATGCTGGTCTCAAACGCATTATGTTGGTTTCGTCATTACACAGCTGAAAATGTTTATGCTTCTCTGTTTTGAAGAAAGAGTCAAATTATCATGATCGTTGCGGCTAGTTTGATATTTTATAAATAATTTGTTTACAATTCTGGTAGCCAGTTGTTTAAATAGAATTGGGTTCTATTTTTAGCAGGTACTCAGCAGGAGGCTATTGTGGACCATCATCATGACACTGCTGCTGATGATGATGATATTGGTGATGCTATTGCTGATGATATTGCTCTTGATAATGGTGATGATGATGTGGACAGTATATCAGAAAGGCTCAATAGCGTTGCATTACAAAGTAAGCTTTACCTCATTTATTCTCTGAAGTGTTTTGACAGATATGCTTACGAAAACAGCCAATCTAGCCAAGAATCAAAGTGGAGATTTTAATCAACCGGCTGAAAATACAACCGACTTTAACAGAATTTCAACCAATGATACGGATCATCAGTCTGTAAATAATGAAACCCATGAAATATATCAACTTTCTTAAGCTTTTTTTTTCATTTAGTTTATACTTTTGAATTGATATGCTTACATTACATGATATAAACATAGTGTTACTTTTAAAAGACTCAGCTGAGTTTTTTTGACATGACAGGACTGGAAATACTATTTGAGATTACTGTTCTATTTTAAGTAGGTCTAGATCAATAACCTCTGAAAACAATTCAGATCATTGGCTCACTCTATTTTTCCAGAATAATTATTCTAATGGAAAAATGATGTAAAAAGACACAAAAATATGATTTTCAGTTTGTTTATGAATATACTGTAAATCACTTTATATTCGCGTGATTTTTATTTCGCGAAAACCTTACCCCCGGATTATTTCGCGTATTCATGAATTCGCGATGGCAGGGTCAAAAATTTATATTCGCGATTATTTGAATTCTATTACCGCAATATAACAGGGCAGGTTGATGTTTATTCATATACTTTGTCGCTCTCATGCAATGTAAAATAATGTAAATGGTGTTAATAAGAGACGATTTTTATTTATTTATCTCATATACAAAATGTACCTACATACATGTAATTGATTAATTATGAACGTTTTTTTCTAATTTGTCAAATTTGTTTTTGTTTGCAAATACCGTGCTTGATAAATCGTTAAATGTTTGTAAGAAGGTGTTATATACTTGTTTATAATACTGAATCTACCGTATGAAAATCATCCGTTGATCACTGTTTTACCGTAAATCTATTGTTATCAAAACAATAAGTGTTCACATTTGTCTGTAAAGTGCAAAATTTGTGGATATTGTCTCTTTTTGTGTTTAATATGCATGTATTCATGAGGAAAAGGAATTGGAAAAATAAAACCTTCATATCTTTATTATGATGTAAATAAAACATTGCACATATCAGTTATATGCATTCAGTTATTGTATTCATTATAAAACTTAATCACAATTTGAAAGAAATTGTCATCAGATTTTTTGTGTCGCCTTGAAAAGGTAACATATAGGGGTTACTTTTGTCGGCGGCGTCAGTGTCGGCGTCGTTGTCGGCGTCGTCGTCCCCTAAAGCTTGTCCGGAGCATAACTCAGTCACTATAAGTCTGATTGACATCAAACTTGGTATGCATGCTTCTTTCAATAACCCGAAGTGCAATGCACAAGGACCGGTACTCTGCAGTTCTTATTTTTTGAGTTATTGCCCTTTGTTAATTTTCATACTTTAATTTTGTCCGGGCCATTTCTCTTCAACTAAAAAAGCTATGGACTTGAAACTTCATAGGATGATAGATCTCATAAAGAAGTGCAGTGCAAAAGAACCGGTACTCTGCACTTCCTAATTTTTGAGTTATTGCCCGTTGTTAATTTTCATACTTTATTTTTGTCCAGGCCATTTCTCCTAATGTATAAAAGCCATGGACTTGAAACTTCATAGGATGATAGGTCTCATTAAGAAGAAGTGCAGTGAACAAGAACAGGTACTCTGCATTTCTTATTTTTTGAGTTATTGCCCTTTGTTTATTTTCATACTTTAATTTTGTCCGGGCCATTTCTCCTTAAGTATAACAGCTATGGACTTGAAACTTCATAGGATGATAGATCTCATTAAGAAGAAGTGCAGTGCACAAGAACCGGTACTCTGCATTTCTTATTTTTTTTGAATTATGGTCCTTTGTTAATTTTCATACTTAATTTTTGTCCAGGCCATTTCTCCGAAAGTATAAAAGTTATGGACTTGAAACTTCATAGGATGATAGATCTCATTAAGAAAAAGTGCAGTGCATAAGAATTGATACTATGTATTTCTTATTTGTTGAGTTAATGCCCTTTGTTGATTTTCTTACTTTATTTTTGTCCTGGTCATTTCTCCTCAAGTATGAAAGCTATGGACTTGAAACATCATATAATGATAGATCTTATTGATAAGAAGTGCAGTGCACAGAAACTGCTGCTCTGCACTTATTATTTTTTTAGTTGTTGCTCTTTGTTATTTTTCATACTTCATTTTTGTCCGGGCCATTTCTCCTAAACTACATTGTTCACAAGGCGACACATCCGAATCGCGGAGTTCTAGTTTATAATGTATGTTATGTTTTAAAATTTTCGCGGCATCATGAATTCGCGACGCGGCCGATTCGCGAATAATAGCGAAAATAAAAACATCGCGAAAAATACCGGATTTACAGTATTTGATTTGTTATCTTCTGCATATCTTTCTGTTTTAAGTGCCCCAGTGGATCTTTGTTAGAATTTAAATTTTAGGTTTTTAGGGTTTTTTCCTCAGTGGAGTTCTTGTAAATAATGCTAACTACATGTGATACGAAGATGTTTTGAACTTTTGTCTGAGTGTTCTATTGTATGTCTTTGATAATATGTTGATTTTAAAATTTTATTTCTTTTTTTCTAGATGATATTCTTGAAGGTGGCCGTGTGTATGAAGTTGAAGGAGATTTAGATCATACATATCCAGAGGGAGAAATCCAACACTTACCTTATAGACATGATAGCGTTCTAGAAAATGATCTGGAACATCACATTGATGACCATTCTGATAGTTAACATGGAACTAAAAAGTAGTGAATAACTTTGTGTTTTCTTGATGAGAATATACCAGTTCATCACGACTATATGGTGTAATACCTTATTAACAAAGTTTTGGAAATGTGGATGATATGATATCATGAGTTTTCATCTGTGTGAGGCACTTGATATTCGTGATGAATTGCCGAGGCTGGGATTCGAACTCATTTACAGGCAGTAGTAGTATCCTCCTAGACTACTGAGCCAAAGATTCCATTCCCTGACGCAATTGTAAGAGTCTGTACTTGTCCGGAATTGAAAACGTTCATATTAAATAGAGGATATTGAATGAGTGTAAGTTCAATACTGAATTTATTACACGAGTTGAATAAAATTTATATTATGCGAGCCTCTGGTGAGCATAATATTATTTTATTCAACGAGTGCAATAAATTCAGTAATGAACTTACATGAATTTAATATTCTATTTTATCACATACCCAAAATAAAGACCGTTTTAAAGTGAAATAAGAGTAATTTTTCTGTGACGAGTCTATAGTATAACACTAACATTTAGCGCGTCTTTACACTATGTTTTTATAACGCTAATGACGTGACGTCAGAATATATATGCACGGCCGTGCAATACCATATTTACGGAGTCGCATGGGTGTGTGATAAAGCGTGTTATATAACATGACGTTCTGCGCTAACATTTACGTCATCTCCGACATTATATTGTTTTTTGTTATTTATTTTTAATATAATTAAACACCATCATGAGAAATAGACCCTTAACGTCATTTTGCAAATGACGTTAAAAGACATTAACATTGTCATAGACGTTAAAAATAAAAGAAAACTACCCTTCAAATATTTAAGATAAATATTGATAGTTAACAATAAGCAAATTTCAATAAAAAATTTTCTATTTATTTCAAGAGCTATAGAATAGAACTTCTCTAAGACTTGAATATGTCGATTAAAAAAGTATGTGACGTCAAGGACTGTTTTAGGTTCCTACAGTACTAGTATTTATGAATGTATATAGGTGTGTGTGTGTGCACACAACTGTAACAGGAGACATGATTCTTCTGAAATACTGTTGGGAAAAGGCGTAAAATGAAACAAACAAACAAAAAAATCTTGACGGCAGAATTTCAAGTCATTCATGTTACTTGAAGCAATAGGCTTCATGTTTTAATGAATTATGTCAATGATATTACTGTAACTATATAGGAATCAGATCAATATAGGAATCTGTGGTTTTATTTCTCGGAGCTGAGCTCTGTTTGTTTTCCTTTTATTTGTTGATCTGATATATACATTGTATATACTTTACTTTGATGTAAATGAAGTTTTAAATTGGTCACATAATTATAATGTATTTAAACTCTGCTGTTTTGGCTATGACCTTAAATTATTTTGTTATGATTTTTGTTCATGATTAATTCTGAATACATGTATTTATAAAATGAAAATTTCATGTGATTTAATTCATTGATTAATTTTAATTAAGTGTACGTTTGCACCTATGTGATCAAATAACAAAGATATAGCTTATTAAGTATCTTAGAAAATTACAAAATATATACACTTATAAACATAGATTTAAAAGAACAACATATAATATGGCAATCTCTTTTTATCTGAATTTGATTGTAAATTCAAAATACAATGTATCAGTAGTATTTTGGTTTGATTTTATCACTACATACTTGCTAATGTTTTAAAAATCATAGTTTAATGTTTAACAATACAGTTTGTGAAACTTCTCACCTTATATCATTATCATAACATTTACATTAAGAATTTTAACTGAACAACTTGTTGAATTTTTTTGATCACATGGTCTTTATGTTTAATGATAAAAAGTTTAATTTGTTAGTAAAAAGCCCTATTATGCCTCAGAAATGCTTTCATCTTTTAACTTTTTTCTCAGAAGCTATTTAATTTTTGGTGTCCTGTTATATAGTTTTAAAACAGTTACTCATTACTTGTTTTTTGGCAACTCAGTACAGTAGTGATTTTCTATGGAAGTCAAAATACTACTTTGTTTTAATTTTGCTACTTTTATGTCAAATTATTTTAAATTAAGTGCTATTATCTTCATTTGACAAGCACCTAACATGCTCATAAACCATTATTTATACATAATAAAACTCATGTTTGTCTGTTATAAAGAAAAGAAAAATGTGTGAATTTCTTATGCATAATGTGCCTTAAAATGAATTATTTCTCATATTTTCTTATAAATTATTGTACATTTTATTTTCATATACATGTACATGTAAGATTTTTAACATTCATTAAATGTCATTATATACATTACAAACATACTAAATTTGTTACATAAAATTTTTTCAAAAGTTTTATATATATGTTGTTGTTGTTGTTTTCTGTGCACGAAGCTTGATCATGTTATCAGTCTTAAAATATTTAATTTTTCATGACATCTCTGCCCTGTCCCAGTACAATTATATTTTCACTGTAACAAATCTTACTCTATGTAACATATATAAATTCTTAAAGTAATTTGCAAGGGTGAATGAATCTATAAAATATTATTATTTCAATTTCATTAAATGTCAGGTTGAATATCACCCAGGGTTGAATATCATTTAAGTTTGAATGTCACTCCGGGTAGTTGCAATTGGGTTAAAATAGACCAAATACCCAACACCCTGGGGTCAAGGTCATTGTTACTAAAAATGGTTTTGTATAATATGATTGGTATAATTTATCTAATACCATGTAGTACATAGTTTGATGTGATTGTGGGTATGATGGTAGGGATGAAATGTCACCAAAAGTGTGAATATCACAAAATAATGAATATCAAAAAACGGTGAATATCAGTTTTAGTCACAGTTCTTGACCATATAATCAACAGATTACATTTTCACAATAAGGGGAAAATATGTTTACTCCCAAATACAATATGCATTTCCTAGCCAAACATTTCTGACTTCTCTTTCTTTTTTAACATTCAATGGTTAAAGTAAGCATCGGTACCATATATTTTACATGAAAATATCACCATTGTGAAACATAAATTATACATAAGAATCAGCAATGAGAATACTGCCATGGTTATTTTTATTATACCCCCACAAATAAAGTTAAGAGGTAACTAGGAGTCCGCTTGTTGGCCCGTTGGTCTGTCCACTTCATGGTTTCCAGACTGTAACTAGAGTTTTGAAGTAGATATTGTAATCAAACTTGGTGTATAGCAAGCTTTTGTGGAAACCCCAGTTGGTATTGCTTTTAGACCCCTGGGGTCAAAGTCACTTCCTCAATATAGAATCAAAGCACAGAAGGCGCTGAATTTGTTTCGGTCTCAGAATGTCAGAAAGGTGAAGGTTGTGAGATTATAAAACAATTTGTTTTTGTATAGTGCCACCAATGCTTTCCAGCGTTTTAATTGTAGTAGATTGGCTATAAGACTTTAAACAATTTGAAAAAAATGTGTTGCCTTAATTGGGATTTGAACTCCAGACCTCTCGCTTCCTAAGCGAGCGCGCAACCCCTCGGCCACGGTGGATTTACATGTTCACGGCCAGAAGAAAACCATATTATTCTAGTTAGGGTTTGTAATGACGCTAACTGTTGTTTAACACTTGTGTAAATAATCATGGCGCTTACTATAAGCATGTATATCTATAAAGAATAAAACAATATTAGAAATCTTCGACCATTCGGGAATTATTTTGCTTGAAAATCAATCCGCCTGTCGTGTGACCATATTTACGCAGTGATCTCCCCTAAATTTTTCGGCCTAAGTGTTACATCTAAAGGGAAGTAACCGCTTCAAAAAAGCGGACTACTTTCGGCACTTGCAATTAACAGCATTAGAGTCTAAAATTTCGCTACCATTATTTGTTTGGTCTGACGACCCAAACAAATTAAAATGGTTTTGGACAATAAAAAGAGTTCGAAATGAGATACTGTTATCTTGGTATATAGCCAGCTTATATGAAGACCCTGGTTGGGATTGCTTTTGACTCCCTTGGGTCAAGGTCACTGTTACTGAAAATTGGAAAATGGTTTCCAGATGATAACTCAGTTAGCAATTAAATATTGTAATCCAACTTGGTATTTAGCAACTTATGTGGAGACCTTGCTTGCGATTGCTTTTGATCTCCTTAGGTCAAGGTCAATGTCACTGTTATTAAAAATAGAATAGGCCTAATGGTTTCTGGATAAGAACGAGCTATTGTTATGAAACTTGGCATTTAGCAAGGTTATGAAAAGACCTAGCTTGCGATTGTTGTTGGACCTCTAGGTTCAAGGTCACTGTTACTAATAACAGAAAAATGGTTTCTGAAAGATAGACAATTAATTGTAATAATTATTGCCACTTCATTGTTACAAAGGAGGAAACCTCATAAATTATGGGTCGAGTTCAAATTTTGCATCAGACCTTATATTTCAAAATGTTACGGTTCCTGGTTGGGGTATGAATCACCTTTAGTTATTGTATATATAATGAACTTTCAAGGGGAAAGGTCACCGTGAGTAAGATACACATGTATATTGTACCATAGAGCTAATTGTTTATATATCTGTGATTGTACAACGGAAATTTCAAGGGGAAGAACCGTGAGTAAGATTTTACATTTGAACTTGCAGGGGGCATATTGCCGTTGGTAATATGTATTTTGCATATGGACATGCAAGGTAAATATCTGACTTCCCTCATTTTCACGGTTCGTCTACATCACGTGCAATGTTCCTTGAATCGGTTAATTGACTTCATGTAAGGAAATTTATCGCTGAAGGTCTCGGTAGATATTGTACTTGAAAGTAAAGATTCATGATGTGTGTTCCGAGTTAATTGTGTATGGGAACTTGTGAATTGTATTGGTTTTCAGGTTTGTTATGTTTACGCTTGAAATCGTTGAATGAATAAGTGTTAATTGAACATGCATCACCGCACATTTCCTCGATTTGGCCGTGCTCGGTAAATTAATACAGAAAAATAACGCTTTGATATTGTTAATTCATTAATTTTATTTATGCATGTAACATCATTTATCGGGGCATTTTATTGTTGGTGATATCACCCGAGATAAAAAAAAATATGACACACTTTTCCATATTATCATAGATTTATCGCATGGTTTGGAACTTTTCATTTGTTCTTACTAGCCCATTATACTCAGTACACTTCAATGAGCATTTGAAAACTGTTTTGATATATAACAGTACAGTTTTTTCATTGATTCATATAGGAAAAAAACTCGACTGTTATATATCGGTTGAGTTTTTTCGCACCTGTTATATATCAATGCAGATTTTTTTCACAGAGGCTCCAATGGGGGCAGTGGTAACGAACATTCCCAGTAGCAAGAAAAAAAGAAATCAATGAAATAAAATAAATAAATAAATACAATAAAAAATATAAACAAAGATAATTAATGAGATGAAATTTACTCTCATTTAATCAAAAAGGTACATCTTTCCACTGAAAAAAGCCCTTTAATTAAAATGAATCAATATTTGTAACAGTTTCCAATTCGCCTCTAACATTGGATAGTCAAGGGCCGAAGGATAGACCACATTTTTTGAGTAAAAAATCGGAACCATTCAAGCGTAACGACAGCGCCGCCATATTGGTATATATAGCAGACGATATTTTTTAATTGTCCGCCATTTATGCACTGCAAGTTTATTTTTGTATTTAGGTTATGACATTATACAGCAGACGACCCATTTTTATCCACCGATAGTCCGTTAAACTGAATAATGCGCTGTCGGGCGCAACATCTTTTACCCGTTTATTATATATAACTGCAAATCGGCTCTTACTCGGCAGTAATTAGTGTAGCCGCTATTTCATGAAGAAACCAGTGCTGATATTGAAAATTGTGATTGGCATATTTTAATTAGCCAGGTCAGGTGTTTCTAAAAAGGCTGATAACACTGTAGCAATGTGAGGATACATTCAAATTTATTACATAGATAATGCACGTGGAGCTCAGCTCGCAGAGACAAATGAGAACACAGTAACTTTTTGATATCCTTTTAACTCTAAGAAAAATGTCAATTATTAATTGCTGAATGTTTATATTTTCTAGAAAAAGTAAGCAAAAACATTATTTTGTTCATATGACAGAAATGAATTGCATTAACAATCCTAGGTATTGTTGAAAACTCATTGTTTTACATGCCAGATTAAGTAATTGGACCCCATCCTTGTTTGTACGTGACTGCTGGAGAAAAATAATGTTATGCTTAATTAAAGAGGTGACACTTTCTATATTTTTTATCTGATATCGAGTTGTAAGAGCCGATTTGCAGTTATATGGGTAAGAGTTCGATAAGACTCCCTACGGTCGTCTTAATACGAACTCTTACCCATACATAACCCTTTCACCAATAATTTAATTTCACTTGTGTTGTAACCACCGATAGATACACATCGAGGCAATCGAAACCCGGACAAAGGTAAAACTTTATTACATTTTTCACAATATTACAAAAAGTGACTAATCCATTAGCCAATCAAATCACAATACAGTGTATTGGATGTATTTTTCGCCCACTTAACCTCTACCTGATGGAGTTTAAACTAACGGTTTAACAATTTTTACAACGCCACAGTAGTTTAATAATGTTATTTATGAGCGTTTAACAGAGTAGACGACAAGTTGTTATATTAGTGATAAAGGTTTAAGCAAAACAAGCCGGTGTTTACATATTTACTTTTATTTACAAACGTTTTTTTTTTCTTTTTCACGGTACAATTTATAACATGTAAATACAATTAATAGAGTAATAATTTTTAGATAGTAAATATTTTACACATAAACTCACAGACACACAAAGTAATGTTAATTTAAGTCCGAAGCTTTCATCCAATAGTAATTATTTTACACATAAACTGAAAAACGTTAATTTAAGTCCGAAGCTTTTATCCAACTGTTAAATTTAGGCGGGAAACTTTTCCATTTGACGTAGAGTTGTTTAATTCGTCCTTTTCCTCGGGTTTTTAATATTTTCTCTATTTTCCATGTTTGATTAGGATCAATGTCCACTTGCTGTAACTCGCTTTCATAGAATGTGCCTTTGATTTCTTCTTGATGCATGTCTTGAAGACGATAGATAGGCAATGTACCTCTGTGATAACGTTTATACACTTTAAACAATGCGCCTGAGAACGTTTGATGGTATGCCCTAGTAAATATAGTTTTTAGATGGCTGATACGCACATAATCTCCTAATTTAAATTTGAAGCGTTTGAGATTTATATTCGATTTGTTGTTTCTAGGGTTTTGAGCCATGTAGGTTGATATTCGTACTTCTTCTTGATTACTGTCTTTGACATATGCGGTTCTCATTCCAATAGTTCTATGATAGGTATGGTTATAGCTGTCGGCGATGTCCTGTAATATGGATAAAAATGTACTGGTTTCTTTGTACAAGTAGCGCATGAGTCTAGTTTTTATACTCAAAATCGCCCTTTCAGATGTGGAGGCCTTCGTTTCATTTTGAGTGGGATAGTAATGGATTCCTTTCTTTTTCATTATATCTTGGACTTTCCTGGCTTTAAATTCTTGACCTGAAAATAAATAGAGGAATGTGTAGTAGCTGTCAAAACAGTCGTATACATGTTGTAGTAAAATAACACTTGACAAATAATTCATACCTTTGTCGGTCAATAATTTGGTCGGAGAACGGTTTGAAGATGTAAAGATTTTCTGAAAGGCTTGAGCTACTTCTTCCCCAGTTTTGTGTTTTAACGGCTTTAACCACACATACTTGGGAAATGTATCAATCACCAATAAAATGTATTTGAAACCCTGGTTCCAATCAGCAAATTTCACCGTACCGATCAAGTCAGCCATCCATAAATCGTCTTTACCCGCACTAACAACATGATTTCGTGGGAAACGTCTCCTAACCGGTTTGTGTAAACAATAAGATTCCTGATTATGCAAGAATTTGCGTATTCTGTGCATTCCCATATTAAATTTCCCTTCATTTTTGACCACTTTGTACAGTTTTTGTGGCCCAGCAAATGAGGCTGGGTGTTTTGGGTCAAAATATATTGACTTTAAATACTTCTCCCATGGAGCCATGTTTACTGTTCAGTGTCGTTGGTAGAAATGAAATGAATATATCTATACGTACCTATAAATTAGTTTTCAGATTCCTCCTCATCGATGTCACTTTCTTCCTCGTCACTTTCTTCATCATCAGTAATTTCAGTCTCAAATAAATTTTCAAACTCAGTCTTATGTTTTCTCAAGACCTTTGTCACGGCTAAAGTTTTGTTAAAACCTTTTGAAATAAATTTATTTATCTGAGCCATAATGTTGCTGTGCAGTTCATCGTTACTAAGTGGCAATATAAAATTATCAATTAACATTGTATAATTATTGAAAAACGCCTTTCCGTTGTAAGGCTGAATACGTTCTTCTGCCATTTCTTGTGCTTCGTCACTTTCCTCTCCGTCATCAATCAATTTGTTATATATTCTGTCGAACTTTGCATCATTTGATTTTCTGGCTCGCTTCCATGAATTTACATAAGCCTCATTATCTTCTAACGCATCTTCTTCATGCTCACTATCGCTTATTTCTTCACGTGTTCGTTTCTTCTGATCCATGCTTTCGGGACACCACCCGCTTTTGACATGTCTTTGCACGTCATGGTTAGTGTCAAATAATTGCCCACAATCATCGCAAGCTTGTCCTTTACTTTCCATTATTTCTTCCGAATTATTGTCGTAATAATCTTGCGACTTCTTTGGTTCTAAGTAATCCTCGATGTGATCTGTTTGAACTCCAGCTGTAGAATGATTTACTTCTGGAAAACCGTTTTCTTTTATAGACCCTGGTGGGGTCACGTGACCCTCGTATTCAGCATTTTTACAATATGCATTTTGTTCAATACATTTTAATCTCTGATTGTCTGGAGTAAACGGTTTTTAATCCACTAATAAATACCCGTAGGGATACTTGGTAGCTTTTGCAAATGGTTTCAAGATCTTCTCAGTATTCCCTGGGTACATTTGCCTGGCCTCACTGTTTGCTTGTCTACTGGGTTGTTAAACAACACTAAGTAATGACAGTTACGTCGCTGTGTAGGGTCTTTGTTCCCGAACAAGTTTTGGTTGATAGATATAATGGTTAGAGATCTGTGGTCGGAGCCCTCTGTAAACAAGTCTGTAATACGTTTATCTTTACCAGATTCAGAAAATAAATCGTCCAATATCAATAGATTGTTGACTTTAGTATCAAAGAAGTCGTCGTCATCTAGGTCGGATGGTAAACCTTGAATGAACTCTACTCTTGGAAAAACAGTTTTCTTAATGAACGTGTATAAAGGCTGCCATCGTCGATAAAGCCACACAATCCTTTGAATGTTGGGTTGAATTTTTGAATCATGATTCTGCAGCAAATCCTTAACCATCGTGGTCTTCCTACAGGCTGAAAATACATATTTTATTAATTATGATTAATGCAAAGTGATACGAAAGAAAAAAATGTACAAAAAATGCAGCAAAAATAGAGGAAAAAATCTCATACATTTGAAATAGAACTGTCAAAAAATATATGTTGTGAAGTAAAAGACTTTAACAAAATGATGAAATCATTTTTAAAATGTCAAAATATTTTTAAATTATCTAATCTATATGGAACTACTGAAATGCTGAAGATTTTAAATATTAAGAAACAGTAAGTTGAAAATAACAATAACCTGTAGTACCTTAAATCATCATGGTAAATGGGTGTTGAAAAAACAAGTCTTTCCTGTCACCCTCTTGGGCTGACGATGGTGGTAGTGTCACTCCAACCATCGATGGTAGTGGTAGAGGAGGCGCTCCCTGAGGAGTAGGAGGAGGCATCCCAAATGCGCTTCCTGAAGAGGAGGATGATGCGTTCCTAATTGAACTCCCTGAGGAGGAGGTGGTGTGCCCTGTGCCCCAAAATGCGATCCCTGAGGATGAGGAGGAGGAGGAGGCGCTCCTAAATGGACCCTCTGAGGAGGTGGAGGAGGCGCTCCAAAATGCACCCTCTGAGGAGGAGGATGAGGAGGATACGCTTGACTGGCTCTTTCATGCATTTGTCTCTGGTGTCGTAACATATTGTCTCTTCTCGAAAAATCTTGATGACACTCTGGACACTGTATTTTATCCATCCTCTCAGTTCAAAAGTCAAACACGTAATGAGGCAAATAACTATTTTGTCTTGGTTTTATGATTATATTTCTTTCTGACCAATTCTACGCCATCGTTTGCACAGACCTCAACCAATCACATGGCTTGTTTCTTTCAGTTCGCCTATATCATAATAATCAGATTCATTAGTGCTTCATTTCTCTTCGTGTGAGCTAACGGAGAGGTTCTTAAGTCATTTAGTATAGTGTTAACAGTCTTAGCACCAAAGAAATATTTGTATTTAAGTAAGTGATTTTCTTGGTCTCGCCCGGCTCTTTCTTAGTCTAGCCTGGCTTTTTCTTAGTCTCGCCTGGTTTTTCTTAGTCTCGCCTGTTTTTTTCTGTGTGTTCTTAATTAAAATTGAAATATTTATAAAATACCTTAATAATCCTATTTTACTTTTTGCAATAAAATTAAGAGAAAAATAATATCTGTGTATATATCTTTTTTCAAAGTTTATTATTTAACTCGAGATCAATAATGCATTTTTCATTATCATTTCAGTCGTACAACAATCAACATGGATTATACCTGCGAACAGTGCGAAGCTAGTTTCACTAAGCTAAGTCAGCTGCTCCAGCATAGAAGGACAGAAAATCATTGGCAAAAATTTACATGCCCTAGCTGCAAGAAGACTTTCAATAGAAAACAGAACTTAGATCGTCATATGAAGAATTATGCTGACGAAAATTCTCACCACTGTCCAATATGTCTTAAAATGTTTACAAGGAAAGATGCGCTTGATGAACATTTTTCACAACATGAAAATCAAAGTGGTGGTGGAATGAAAAGACCTCATGGTGATAATGATCATAATAGCTCAGGAAAACGACAAAAATTAACACAAAAGGATAATGCCACGGAATACTTTAACATTGAGAAAATAAACGAAAGACGAATTGAAAAATTCAACAATCTTGAAGCTGAGCTCTGTTTTCCTTTTATTTGTTGATCTGATGTATAGATCGTATATACTTTACTTTGATGTAAATGAAGTTTCAAATTGGTCACATATATTGTATTTAAACTGCTGTATTGGCTATGACCTTAAATTATTTTGTTAAGAGTTTTTGTTCATGATTAATTCTGAATACATGTATTTATAAAATGAAAATTTCATGTGATTTAATTCATTGATTAATTTTAACATATAATATGACAATCTCTTTTATCTGAATTTGATTGTAAATTCAAAATACAATGTATCAGTAGTATTTTGGTTTGATTTTATCACTACTTACTTGCTAATGTTTTAAAAATCATAGTTTAATGTTTAACCATACAGCTTGTGAAACTTCTCATATTATATGATATCAATTACATTAAGAATTTTAACTGAACAACTTGTTGAATTTTTGATCACATGATCTTTATGTTTAATGATAAAAAGTTTAATTTGTTAGTAAAAAGGCCTATTATGCCTTAAAATGCTTTCATCTTTTAACTTTATTTCTCAGAAGCTATTTAATTTTTGGTGTCCTGTTATAGGTTTAAAACAGTTACTCATTACTTGTTTTTTGGTAAATCAGTACAGTAGTGATTTTCTATGTAAGTCAAAATACTACTTTGTTTTAATTTTGCTACTTTTATGTCAAATTATTTTAAATTAAGTGCTATTATCTTCATTTGACAAGCACCTAACATGCTCATAAGCCATTATTTATACATAATAAAACTCCTGTTTGTCTGTTTTGAAGGAAAGAAAAATGTGTTAATTTCTTAGGCATAATGTGCCTTTAAATTAATTATTACTCATATTTTCTTATAAATCATTGTACATTTCATTTTCATATACATGTACATGTAAGATTTTTAACATTCATTAAATGTCATTATATACATTATACACATACTAAATTTGTTACATAAATACTTTCCAAAGTTTTACATATATGTTGTTGTTGTTGTTTTCCGTGCACGAAGCTTGATCGTGTTAGGAGTCTTCAAATATTTAATTTTTCATGACATCTCTTCTCTGTCCCAGTACAATTATATTGTCACTTTAACAAATCTTACTCTATGAAACATATATAAATTCTTAAAGTAATTTGCAAGGGTGAATGAATCTATAAAATATTATTATTTCAATTTCATTAAATGTCAGGTTGAATATCACCCAGGGTTGAATATCATCAATGTCACTCAGGGTAGTTGCAATTGGGTCAAAAAAAGACCAAATACCATACACCCTGGGGTCAAGGTCATTGTTACTAAAAATTGTTTTGATAATATGATAGGTATAATTTATCTAATACAATGTAGCACATAGTTTAATGTGATTGTAGGTATGATGGTAAGGATGAAATGTCACCAAAATAATGAATATCACAAAAGTATGAATTAGGGATGTCATTCGGAGTCCGGATATCCGAACGTTCGGATCACAATTCGATGTCCGGACCCGATTTTCGGATCCGGATGTTTGTAAAAAATATTTCAGAATGTTGAGAAAATGTGATAAAAAACATGCGTTGAGATAATCGACGTAGACATGGTGTTGACACCATATTCTATATTGTACCTTAGTTTGACAATACGCAGACCAAAAAAAATCAATAATTACTATAATAATTACGAATCAGTTATGACACATGTTGTTAATCTATATTAAACACCAAACAAATTTAAGTTTTGTAGGATTCAAGATGAATATTCTAAGTCCCGTGCGATTGTCATCGGCAACATTTTTTATGTCTAAATTTAAATAATAAATTAGGCTATTTTTATATATATTTCGGCTTACCGATCCGTCGACTACTTATTTTGAGAAAATGAAAAATCTACAGAAATAGAATAGTCAAATCAAGAAATGTACTTACGAATAATAATATGTTCATTATCAAAGCTTTTATTGAAATTGATACGATAATTATCCGACAAAATAACTTTCTCCTTGAGTATTAATCAAACGTGTGC